GCCGAGGGAGGCCCCAATGAAAATGACAAAATAATGTAATTTGGACTCTTAGATTTATGCGTGCTGCGCCTCCACAAAAGGACGCCTCCGTCCCCCATTGCCATATCTTCCTGCCTATCTCCCTCTCTCTCTGTCCAGATATGTGCGTGCGTGTAGTGTCCTGCAACCTGAAGAAGAAGGAAAACGCAACGTAGTCGTTTCCTTTATGCTGCTCCTGCTGTTGACGCTTCCTCTTCCCCCCAGGATGCTGGCTAGCTTCCTGCTGCGCGTGCTTTGGCTCGGGCTCCTTTTTTGTTCGTTTTAAGCCGCTTGGCCGAATTTAGGGCAGGTTTCACTCCCGCTTAAACCCAAAATAAAAACGAAATCCGTCTTCTGCTCCTCGGAGGAAATTTCTTTCTGTTTTTTCCTGTGTGTTGGCTGAAGGCGGGACGAGAGTTGTTGACAAACTTTCAAGCGCCGGAGGGATAGAGGAAATATGAGGCAGAGTGCAGAAGATTGTTAGAGGGAGGATGAGTTGCACTAGGGATGGCAAGGATTAAATAGGTAAACATTCCAACAAAATATATCAAGAAAGCGTACTATGTACATATGTATATTGCCATCAAACTTATAATCAATCGGTATTTGATTGCAGAATTCTATGTAGCTTAAGCTTAAGGAACTCAAAATAACATTCAAAATGGAGCTGCTTTGAAATAGGTCCTGTTAAATATGGCCCCCGTTGTCTTAATATACCTGAGATAGATTTACCTAGAAGGCAATCATTTAAACCTCTAAGATGCATTGGATTGTGTGCGTTAAGCTTCGCTACGAGTATCATAGTTTTTAGTCTCCCTAAGACTTAGGATAGATCCTATATTTTCGGTGTACACTCGGAGGCAGATTTGAATATATCTTTGGCCGCTGGAAATACAAAAAGCAAACAGAGAAGGGCCATTGTCATGGTCACCTAATCCGGCTGGCGAAATGGCCCGACTTGAGCTGGCCTCGATCCGGCCAGGGGCCAAGAGAGTCCTTGGCGAGGAAAAATAAATTCAAATGCAAAACTCGGGCGCCAGTGGCGAAAACAGGAGGAAGGAAGCACACGAAGGAGCAGATAAATGACTACCAGCTGTGTTACAGTTGGGGGTGGGGCCAAGATACTAATGCACATGCCACAGCAGCGCGGCTGCTCCGCCTCGTTCTCCCCCTTTGGTCGCTGATGATGCACAGATGATTCCTGTTCATTTAATTTTCATTTTTGTTCCAGAAGTAAATGGGTGAATCCGGAAGCCGGAATGGAAAGGGTGAGAAGGATGCTCTCACGAAGGATGGAGAGGGCGGAGTGGGATCCTGTAGAACAAACCTCGTTGCGCCTACATCGTCTCGACTCTGTCGACTGTCTGTCTTTCGACAGGGGGGCCTCAAAACTTTTGCCTGCCACGCACAATTTTCCACTTTCAACTTTCCCAACCGAACTGAGGAAGGATGCGGGGTGGTGGGGGCTGTGCGTGCGTTCGAGTGAGGGGGTTGCTTGAAGCGGGGGTGGGTGGGCTGAGCTTTATGCTTGGTTGATGTTGCGATAAGCAGCCAACGTCGCTGCTGCTTCTGCTGCTGCTTTTGTTGTTGCTGCCGCAGCCGCAACGCTGCACACGCCACATAGAACTTGTGGCCAGGGGCGGGGGAGTGCTGTAGTGGGTGGGTGGTGGCGCCTAGGCCCTAAGGCAGGGTTGAAACATAGTCGGTTGCTGCTGCTGCTTCTGCTGCTTTGTTGTTGTAGTTGGCGCCAGTTTCCCATGTAAAAGTTGCTGAAAAGTGTAACGCAGTCGAGGCTCGGCAGAGTTTTCCCGGAATGGTAGATGCGGTGGATGAGGGGGAAAGAGAAGGTTGGAGGCAATCTGTTGGCGGGGGTGGGCGGCTGCTGTTGCCATGTCGCCTACGCGGCATAGTTTTAACTTTTCTTTCGCACGCACTGCCAAGCGAAGGATACCAGGACTTTCCGATGGAATAGTACGAGTGAACAGCCGTTAATATCAAAAGAAATCAGAAGGGTCTCTTATAAAACTATAGAAACAGAGAAGGGACAAAGTTGTTGAAATGAATCTGTGCTAAGAAACTTTAAAGAATTCTTTTCAATTCCATATGACATCAGGCTTCAGGCAGACTGCATGTAACAATGTAAATCTGGATAAATTATAACCTACATAAGTATATATGTACATATATTGAACATCGATCGATTATGTATTGAAAATTTCCACTAACGACTGAACAAAATTCCATTCAAAATCATAAGAGTGTTCCCCTGTCGTTGCTATCCGTACATTTAATTTGCAGCTGTTTTTGTTTTTGCCAAAAATTCACGCACTTTTCCGGGCTTTCCCCCTTTTTCCCATCCATGTGATGGTATGAGTGCCACCCTGTGACTGTGTGTGTGTTTGTGTGCCAAGCAAGTACATAGAGGCGCCTTTATGTGCTCAGATTTCCTTCCGCTGGAAATAGACGAGTAACCACGACCAGAACGAGAGCCGGGACCAGGACGCTTTCACTTTCACTTGCCACCTACAGGGCGCAATGCGAGGCAGACATGTCGGGGGTGGCAGCAAACTTTCGACATCAAAAAGAACTACTTTCGATAATCACAGGGCTGGCGCCAAAGGAATTACATTTTTGCGGGGCTACCGGCTGCGGGAGGGAGTTTTCTTCTTCCCTGCTTTTAACTGTGCCATGCCCTCAATTTCAGGCGCTTTTTTCGGTTTTAAATTTGGGCATCTCCTACTTTTGTGCGCATAACATAACAAATTCGCTTTTATACTGCCCAAAGTTTCGCTACAGCTATTTTTTATGCAATCTTTTATTGGCATTTTATGTGTTCGTCGATTCTGATGAGATCAGCGGAGGAAAGGGGAGAAAATGGTGACCGTCCAGCGATTTGAAAATCGAGAATAATATTTCAGGAAATTCGCTTATTAATTAAGCTAAGCGAAACCACCCCAAACAGCCTCCCTCCCATGCCCAACATCAAACAGAATCGTATCAATGACATCATTGCCGCCGCCGTGGAAATGGGAAATGCAATGGGAAAATGTGTAAAAGTTTGGCGTTGGTTAAAGTTGGAGGCTGCCTCCGGGATGGGTTTTTGGTGGTGGCGGAGCACAACCGGTTCACCATAGAAACCCCTTTTGTCCAGGAAAAGCTAGGCTGATGCAGTTGCTAATTTGAAAGAAAAAGAGTTTTCATTTAGTCATGGGGGTTGTTGCTCAGCAAAAGCCATCTCACCTTACCGGAGTGCGGAGATGTGGGGGTTGAAAGGGTTAGTTAGCAACTGTATAGGTAAATGGTATGCAATATATAGTTTACACACACTCTTAGCCTACGAGATTTTCCACACTTCCCAGATCTCTAAATATTATATAGAACATAAAACCGTTTTTTCAAAATTCAAATTACTCAACAGTTGCCCAACTGCGGACCACTCTGAACGCCAATCAGTTTGTCAGCTGACAGAAGCTTGTTGGTAGGAAACGAAATTCTGCAATGTCGTCAAAATGACATAAAAAAGGAAGAAGGACGTTGGCCAGGGATGTGCCGGGGTGCCGAGGGGGCGGTGCTGGTGCAGCCGAACAAAAAATTCCCAGGAAAACCGATGCTAATCCCTTCAATGATGATGAATTCAACTCTTTAATTTCTGAAATCGTGGGCAAGGTGCAGACCAAGGCGGGAAACAACTCAACATCCGCTGAAACATCGCATCAACGGAACAAGTTGTGAGAAGAAAGGAAGCCAGTGGTTCAAGCACCCAAACAGGACACGCACAAAGTCGAGAGAACGTACGTCCCAGATTTCTAAGATTTTTTTAGCCACAAATTTAATTCAATTTCATACAAATGGTAATAAAAATTTAAAAAAATTTTAAATCTCACCCTTACAGATAGAACGAGAGAGCAGCTGACACTTGAGCACTCTTTTGGTTGTGGGTTAAGGTTCACAAACGCATATTTGTCAATCGGCATATCGATAGTTCGCCCGATAACATCACTAGTGCACCTTTTATTTACTTAATTTACATTATTTTCGAAAATGTTGAAAAACATTTTAAATAAATCGAGGCAGGTGTGGACTCCACTGGCACGTGGTCTGTCGAAGACCAACACCCAGAGCAATGTAGCCGCCGAGTCCGCAGCTGCTACCAACATTACAAAGCCGGCACTGATATTGCCTCAAGATTATGCCGACTATGCGCCACTAAACAGGAATGCCCCACGCCAGGCATGGATAGAGAATATCGATGCAGTGGCCGAGCGCAAGATGGGTCTGATTGAGCTCCATCCGGATGTGTTTGCGGCACAGCCGCGTGTGGACGTCATTCAGGAGAACATCGAATGGCAGCGAAAATATCGTTATGTAAGTTTGGCCCATGCCAAGACGCGGGCGGAGGTGCGTGGCGGCGGAAGAAAGCCGTGGCCCCAGAAAGGCATGGGTCGTGCTCGGCATGGCTCCATACGTTCACCTTTGTTCAAAGGTGGTGGCGTCATCCATGGTCCCCGTTCGCCCACCACACATTTCTATATGCTGCCCTTCTACAAGCGCGTGATGGGACTGACCTCAACGTTGAGCGTGAAGCTGGCCCAGGATGACCTGCACGTCATTGAGAATGTAGACATTCCCACCAGAGATGCCCAATTCATCAAAGATCTGATAGCGGAGCGCAATTGGGGACCATCAGTCTTGATTGTGGACAAGTGAGTGGTGAGCATGAACTTCGAGACAAATGCAATCTAATGTTTGCTTATATATCAGAGAATACATGTTCCCCGAAAACATCTGCTATGCCACCGACGACCTGGGCTATGTGAATCTGATGCCAGCATTTGGTCTGAATGTCTACTCTATGCTGAAGCACGATACGTTGGTCCTGACTGTGGATGCCGTCAAGCATTTGGAACAGCGTCTGCTATATCAACAGCATCGGACTGATGCCACCAGCAAGGGCGGCAAATTCAAGCTAGATCAAGTCTAAATGTCTTATTATAGTCGTTTATTTGTAATTTAACTATTTTTGATGCCAGAAAATGCATTGTTAGCTGCGATTTATTGTTGAGCTTGCTTTGGGGCGGCACTCACAGATACCCGTACGGACGTGACCAGTGGATCTTGGTCCTTCTCCGATATGAGGATTTGACAGGCTCCCTGCAAGAGTTCACCAAGTTTCGGTGCAAACATGCGCAGGAATCCGCGCTCCGAGTTGCTGTGATTGCAGAGCAGCACGGTGGTACCATTGTGATTGAATTCCAGCAGTTCGTGATGTGACATTTCGCCCGTGATGATGGTATCGGCCTGGATGCCCCGCAAAAGGGAGCCTCCCGATCCCGCACAGATGCCCACAGTGCGCACAAGTGTCTTTGAATCATGTCCCACGGCCAGGGCCACGTGCACATCGTTCTCGATGTGATGCTGCAGTGCCTCAACCAACTGAGAAATTGTCATATTCGTCTCGATCAACCTTCCCGAGCCGGTGCCAGGTTCGGTGCACCCGAACTCGGGTATCAACGGCCGAATGCTTTTAATGGTCACGGACTGGGCCAACCAATCGTTGACGCCACCAGTTTTCTTATCCCACGACGTATGGGGCGAATACAGGGCTATGGAATTGGCCAAACAGGCAGCCACCACCCGCTCCTTCCAGTTGGACTTGGTAATTCTTGTCAGGGGTTTGAAGATTGGCGGATGATAGCTAATGATCATCTCCACCTGCTTTTCCACAGCCTCCTTCATTACGGGCTCGGTGAGATCGTTGGTCAGGAGTATCTTTTTCACATCTCTCTCATTGTGCGGCTCGATCAGAAGTCCCACGTTATCCCACTTTTCGGCCAGCGAAAGCGGGGCAAAGTTTTCGAGTTCCTTGACAACAGCAGTTAATTTGCGACCACTGTAGCTGCTCATTTTTCTTAAGCTAGTTACACCCCGTAACATATGAATTTTGAAATTTTTGAGAAATAAATAAAATATTCGCCCGGTGTTTTTTTGCAGAATGTCACATGGGAAACATTACCTAACACTAGTATTTCTGGCGGTAATTTAAAGAGAGAAACAATATATTTCATTCATATAAGATAAATTTAAAGTGAACAAAACTCTGGTATGCATATTATAGTTTTTATTTACACAGGGATTATCTCACTTCCAATTGAAGAAAAATAAAAAAATGCGTAAAATAACATAAAATATGGATAACCAACAAAAATGAATTCTGCAATTTAGCTCTGCCGTGTTTTTTCCCGACGGGAAAATTTTAGCGCAGTTTAGGTAAATCGTTTTTAGGGAAGAGTAGAATTTACTAACAGGGCTATTTTCCGCGGCTTAACTCAAGTTGCTCACCTGTTTAAATGGAGGTTTTTTAATGGTGGATTCAGTGGGTTAAGGTCAACTTATTGTCCGTTGAACAACACTGGCAATCCTAATAAATATAACTAAAAAAAGTCAAGCTACCGAAGAAATCGCGTCGCAAAGAAAAAACGCGGAGCACCACTGAACGCACGGCGGATGAAAAATATAGAATCGCGCATGCAGAAAACTTCTGCAAATATTGTTTGATCAGACATTAACATTCACGTATTATTGTATAAAACTCGCTTAATTAGCAAATGAGTTGAATTTGTGCATTTAACTTATAACACCCATGCAAAACGTAGCTAAATCGTGCGTAAAATCAGAGTGGAACAGCAATTAAGCTACAAGGTAGTGGGCGACATAGTGGAATGTTTAAAATAATATTAATGTTTTAAAGCTGCCATTTTGAAAAGAAATCACTGAGAATGTGTGAATGCAAATGAAAAACAAAGAATAGGATATAAAAAGTGAACAAAGATAGAGAGAGGCTGTGCGGAGAAAATAGATCTCCAGAAGTGGCAGTGTGTGAGTGCGTGTGAAACAAAAGCAGATGGAAAGTGCAAAATGGAAACATAAATATATGCACAAAGACTTAATGGAATAGTTCCCCAATGAATCGCACGGGTTTTTTGTTGCTCAGCTTTGTTGTCAGCAATACACATGTATAATTTATAAATTGCTTTAATCTACAAATTGCTGTTATTGCGTTTTCACTTGCGCCCCCCATCTACGTTTGTTTCACTCGCACCCATGCCATGGCACATTAAAGCTCGAAAGCGCAGTTACGTGAGCTTGCGAGAGTGTCAACTTATGCCAGTGTGTGTGCGCGAAAGAGAGGCAGAGCGATAGAGAGACTAAAGAGAGAGCTTGCGATTAAAACTGAGCTCAAAAGCAAAGTTCAACTTAGTAAATTTCCACAACTCAAACTAATTATTTTGCAGAAGAACTAAACAACAAAAAACCCAACCCCCACTTAAACAAACTTTTAATAAAACGACAGTGAAGTGCCGGAGAGTAAAACATTCAAGAAACAACTGGCAACGCAACAAGTACAAGTACATACTCGCGCCGCGCAGAATAGAAAGCCCAGAAGCAGAACCAAACCGAACCGAACCGCAACGAGAGCAGAGCCGAGCCGAGCAGAGCAGCGCTGAAACCAAAGGCAAAGAAAATTAAGTAAAGCAAAGCCCTAGAAAGCTCGAAAATGTGGAACCAAACAACAGAGGCAGCACAAGCAACAGCCGCAGCAGCAACAAGTGATAATAGCAAGGAGGTGGCCAGTGCAGAGGAGTGTGGATGTGCTGCCAACTCATTTGATAACAGTAAACATCCAAAATCCTCATTTGGCGGCAAAATCAACGAGAAGACGGAGCAAAGGGGCGACAACGACGACGACAACGCCATTAACAAGCAAAAAGAATTTGCAGCACAAAGCGAAACAAGTGATTCTGGTTTTATATCTGGACCGCAATCATCGCAGATCTTTAGCGAGGAGATTATCAGCGAGCACGACACCGCAACCGACACCGAATCCAAGCCCAAGACCGCACCCGCCTTCGAGTCATCGCAGAAAACCAGTCAGGCTCCCGATCAAAAGCAAATCTCTTCCGTGGTCCTTGATTCGGGCATCATTGACGAGGTCGAAACCGAGGAGGAGGACAACGACGAACAGGAGCAACAGAATCCAACATCCTCCCAGGCTGGCATCAAGCAACAGCCGGCCGCCACTGAACAAATGCGCCTCAAACACAACACAGACGCCGGAATACCACAATGGACAGTCCAAAGCAATCTGGCCGGACGTGGCGAGGTCCTCAACAATCTGGGCACCAGCACCTCCATTTCGGGCCGCAGCAAAGCCATCAGTAGCGATAACAAACCCACGAATGCAGCAGCCTCAGCATCTGCCTCTGGATCGGCTAATCTGAACAACAGCAGCATCAATATCATCAACGCCTGGGAGCAGTTCTATCAGCAGAATGACGACGGCGACACGTAAGTATTTCCGTTGAGAATTTCCCGAAAAATCGCATCGAGACGACTTGACCACCAACTGTGGGGGAGAGTTTCATGAATCACATTAAAGACAATGAGAGACTGGGACTCGGTCTGGGACTGGGAAGAAACGCGACTTCAGACGCGCACTGACACATGTGTGTGACTGATTCGGGGGTTTTCCTGGTATGTGGGCAGGTATCATCATCATCAACAACAACAAAACTGGTTTTTGGGCAAGTGTTTCTTTCCTTGCCTTTTGGGTTTTCTGGGTTTTTACTCACGCACGAGACATGACAGACAACAAGTGTTCGAATGAAAGCCACAAAGAAAGAAACGGCGGAAGGAAGCAAAAGGGAGGGCCAGACCAGACCTCAGGTAAATAAACTCTGACTGATCGTTTGTTTTTGCTTCTCTGTGTGTTTCAGACCTCTGCATTTGGCTTGCATATCGGGTTATGTCGATGTGGTGGCCGCTCTCATACGCATGGCGCCGCATCCATGCCTGCTCAATATCCAGAACGATGTGGCACAAACCCCACTGCATTTGGCTGCCCTCACAGCCCAACCGAACATCATGAGGATGCTGCTACTGGCTGGAGCTGAGGTAAATATCAATCTTCTGAAATTTTTTGCGGATTAACTGATTAATCAAAAGGAAATAACAATCTCTAGCTATCCCATTAAATCACTAACAAAAGCCTGAGCAAAGATCTATCTATTATACAATACTTATAATACCATATCCTACACAGCCTACAGTTCGTGATCGTCATGGAAATACTGCTTTGCACCTATCCTGCATTGCCGGCGAGAAGCAATGTGTTCGTGCCTTGACGGAGAAGTTTGGTGCCACGGAGATCCATGAGGCACATCGCCAGTACGGACATCGTTCGAACGACAAGGCTGTTAGCTCCCTCAGCTATGCCCGTCTACCCGCCGATCTGGAGATACGCAACTACGATGGTAAGTGCCCCTATATTTCGATATATATGTATGTACATATAGTACGTAGTAAATGGTTTATTTTGAGGCACATTTTCATGAAAATTTTCATGAATCTGTGCCAAAAGAAATGGTATACATATATTCCTAGATATAGTGTAATTTGCTGTCCCGACATCGGCTAGCCACAGTGCGAGACAATGTCTGTCGTCTGTTCGTATAGAATATATATATCTATACCAAGGAATGTGTATTTGTGTACATATATCTCTGGTTATAGTCTTTGAACAGATGCCAAAAATACATTGTGGCCTCTCCTCTCCACCCTGAACATTTTCCACACTTTTCCACTGTTTTCGGTAAGACATCCCACCCTCTCATCTCTCACCCCCTGCGTTATTGATTAACGAAAATAAACGAAAAGCACACATTTGCCAGGTTCTCAGACGTCAGCAAAATTCACTATTAAAACAAATTATACAAGAAAATAGAAAATGGAAGGAAAAACAAGAAATTCTCTTATATAAGAAATAAGAAAATTGCTGGAAATTATTTCAAATGTAAATTGATTTACTTCAATTTATTGAATCAATTAAGTACAGATCAAACATGGTTTTTGTACTTTTATGGAATTACTTTAAGTTCGTCCAGATTCCGCCGGACTTCATTTCGCATGCATTTTGCGTCAAGGAAATCATTTTGCAGGCGTTTGGCAGCATGGGCAGGGACGGGGCAGGCGTGGCGGCCCATCATTTACATTTCGCATTCGTTCGGTTTCCTTATTTGATTTGGAACAGAAATCGAATTATTGATTTGCGTGAGGTGTGGGGGAGAGAATGAGTATTTATAGAAACAAGACATTGCTAAAGTCCCAGAAATTTGCATGGCACTGGAAACATTGTTAGATATTTATACAATTCTATACATTGCTCAGAGATTTATTCTTCATTGCACAAGCGAAAAGTGCCAAAGAGAATGCCTAGACTCGAATCTGGCTATTTTTGGCCAAAACCTAGAAGAGTAAAAGTAAAAGTCTTTGTCCCTCTCTTACCACAAAAACTAAAAAAGGTTAATAAACTTGTGTCAGAGGGTACACACGAGTATATTGCAATATCAAAGTTATTTGCTTTTAACCTTTCGTTTGTTTAATCGATTTCCCTGCTGGGAGTCGTGTTCCCTCATACATTTTTGGTTTTTTGTTTTTCGATTTTGCTATAACCTTGCCCAAAAATAAAACCCAACAACAAACCACATACACAAAACAAAAAGAGTGCCAAATGAGTCTGAGTTCGAGTTCGTGAGTGGCAAACATTTTGGTGAACAAACATTATTATACGGTCAGCCTTAAGCAGCAGCAGCAGAAACCGGTTTTTGGGGGCCCCCAGAAACAGCTGCTCTTCTTAGGTACGTGTATACCTATTTATGCTATATACATGTATAACCATTTCGGAGACTGGGACCAAATATAATGTATTTTGGCTAGCCAACGGCAGGCAGCAGGCAGACACAGCCGACCAAAACTATTAAAAACCAAACGAAGCGAGAGAGAGACGAGCAGACATACATACGCTGCCGCCTGAGTATTTCTCTTTTGAAATTTCTGGGTTTTCCCGATCGCCAGTCTACTACTTGCACACAAAACTTTTTGATTTGAAAGCAATTTGAAATATCGGAATCGGGAGAGGGCAGGGTAGAGTTCTGTAAACAGATTCCTCAAATAATATGTACTAAAGAACGGCCTTCCAGCCTTCCTCCCTCCCTAGCCAATTGACGTCAGTCTTTAGGGAATTCACACACGCAAAATGTACTAGAACCGAAGTTCAATTTTTTGTTCCAGTGCCAGTGCCCCCAAGTCAAATATAATCCTGTAATTTCCATGAATTTCTGGATATTTCATCAGGCGTAAAATCAGACATTTTTTGTTTTGACAGAGTATTTATTTCTTGGAAAACCAAGCGTAGCGTACCTTCATGAATCTCCCACTGATATTAATAGAATGACTTAATTTAATATTATACCCCCATTTAAAGGGCTTTTTGCTAAATTCCTTTCCATTTAAATGTAGAAACATGTTAAAAATAGTGCACCATGGAGACCTAAAAAGAATCACACAAAAAAACAAAGCCTAAGCAAATAAAAGAATTTTCGATCGATAAGAAAAAATCCGCTTGGTGGAGGAAATTGGGAAAGGTTCGTTATCAATGAAGACCATTTGAACTCTCCTAGCCTCAACCTCAACCTCAAGCTCAAATATTTGTGCTGATTTTCTTGTGGGGAAATCCCAAGTATTTTTGTAATTACGGGGATTATAATCCATTTTGGGGGCCCCTTCATTACCGCTTCGCACTCGCACGCACGCAGGCACACACGCACGCAACGGGAAAATGGGAAATGGAAATGAAAATGGATTTCGATTATAAATAACCTCACGCAATCAGAGTCCCCCGTAGGACAAGGATCTATTAATAGTTGGAGAGCAGAAAGCCTTCTGCTGCGAGGCCTCCCCTCTTTCAGACAATGGAATGGAGGGTCCCATCGCAGAATTTCCCCATTTTGGGTAATCGATTGATTGTGTGAATTCGTTATCGAAAAGAGGGAAGAGAGAAGAGGAGCCCACATGCTCGTTCTATACACATACATATGTATATATGTATATGTTTTATTATCTGGATGGTAATTGTGACGTTTCCAAGTACTATACTAGTGTATGCTTATCTGTACGTAAAGAAGCGACTGAATCCCCGGATCGATGGATGAATTTCCAGAATACTGGGTAGTACATATGTACTGTATCTTTTTTTTGTATTCCCACAAATGCTTGCATGCAGTATAATTTTCCCAAGGGAAATTACCTCTTCGTCCTATGCTTTATTGCATATCTAGCGTTGCAGGGAATTTCAGAATCTCAAGGAATCCCCCCTCCCCCCCAAGAAATAAGCAGCATTTGTGCCGCATGTGTGGCATGTTGCATTGGGAACAATGCCAATTCCAATTTGTGTGTTCGACGCTTCAGTTATCTCTCGAGAGAGCCTGAAGGCTGATTCGTAGGATTTTTGTTAATATACAGATAAAAGTGAAATGCATATATCGAGTCATTCAGAGAAATGAGAGTTCGAATCACAAATCTGTTGCTGGGCACTTGAATTCCGTACTTCCCCCGACAATCGATTGATAAGGCGGCTGTCCAGAGCCAACGCCAAAGCAAACGAGATATGTCCGACCGTCCAGCTGTGTATTCCAGCCGATGTTCGATCGTCAGCAGACATTTGGTAACTGGGAAATCAGTCGTACCGTTATCAGAGCCGACGGCCAGGAAAACCCCATGGTGGTCGTTTATTATGCGATTATACGAGTACGACTCCCCGATTCCGATTCCCATTGCCATTGCCAGTACCTGTTACCATTAAAAAAGAAGATAACTAGCTATCAGCCAAATGGTTTTACCATTTCAATATTCCTTATTTACGATGATCTTGGGCCGCCCCATACCATACCGTTTGTGTGTGGAATTAAGTGATCGATATTCGAAAAGTTCGATCCGGTCGTTTGTTCTTTGAACCGTGGAACCGTTGAACGACGAACGACAGTTAGGAATTCGCTATCAGGGCATGACTTGACGGAAGTCGTGGAAAACCAATAATCCTATAAACCTTCGACGTAGCCAGAACAATGGAAATGCCTTTCAAGAAGTCACCTAATGATGGATTGAAACTAATAACTGCCACATCGGAGCTTAATTATCGTCAATTGTGGGGGACTGACTGGACCTTATAACAGAAACAGGAACGCATGAGAAACAAAGAGAAAGATAGTTCGATATACATACATATGTAGATACCTATAGCGCCTTACCCGATCCTATCTATAGAACCTGTTTTGTGTCGGGGTGTCGGAGTATTATTTACTTACTTTTGATTCCATGACATTCTATCTATGGCATCTACCTATTACATTAATGAATAACAAATTAGTCAGAGACAGCGCCTGGCCTCTCCCGCTTTGTTGTGCAGCTGCTGGCTGTGGCTGTGGCTGCTGGCTGCTGACTGCAAACGTGTAAAATGATCGTATTTCCGTGGGTAGATCAGATTGATGAATCGGTTTGATCGTATCATTTCCGTCTTATCCGCTTAACTCATTGAAGAAACTGTCTGTTCAGTTTGGTGACCCCTATGGGCACTCTCTTATGAGAATTAAGATCTACGCTGGACAAGGTTAAATCTCATAAATAACATCGGAAATATTTCTCTCCCCCCTCTGGTTTTTGCCATTATTTATACTCGTTTATCTTCAATGAATACTCGTAGTTCATATCCAATGAGTAAAATGTACGTTTTTTCCCCCGCTGAAAACATGAGCTCAACAACAAAAAACAAAAACAACGGAAGTTTAAGTATTGCAATATTGAAAGCTCTATGAATGATACCACTACTACCTGATGGAAGACCCCAACAGCACAAATACCGACGAGCCCTTATACGTTGATCTGATCTCCCTTTCTACTGCTGCCGCACTCCGACATGGATGGCGTAGCACGGGTGACCTCTTGTATGGGAAACCTATGGCGGCTCCGTTGCTCAGGTGGGATTTTCCCCCAAAATTCCCCCCATTTGCGGCTTTATTATACCTGGGTTTTGTGTGTGTTTTCTTTTCTTTCGTTTTGCGTGCCACACGTGGCTGACGATCCCCAAGTATTTGCATTCCGCATTCGAATCGGATCGGATCGGGTCGGATCCATACAAAATGTAGCTCAAAAGAAAGTCAACAACGGTGGCGGTGGCGGATCGCTGACATAACCCACCCGGTGACTGGTGACTGGTGGCTGGTGGCTGGAACTGGCTTTGGATCGCCGACTCCCGATCTTCAGTCTTGAGTTGAGTCTTGAGTGCCTTTCAAAACACTTTCATTGCCAAGTCAGTCAGTCAGTCGTTGTCGTCGTTGGAGAGTAACGTCATGGAATGGAAAATCCGCAGCTTTAATTGTGCTAAATTGTGCGCGTTGTTTGTCATTTGTTATAGTCGTTG